GGTCTGTGATTCAACAGTCTCACAATTCACAGCGCTCACCATAGCACATACCCTCCCCAATGTCTATCACCCAGCCACCCCATCCCTCCCACCTACCCCCACTCCAGCAACCCTCAGTTTGTTTCCTGAGATTAAGAATTCCTCATATCAGTGAGATTGTATGATACATGTCTTTCTTTGATTGGGGGCACCTGGTGGCTCAAGAGTCAGTTAAGTATCTGACTCTTGATCTCAGTTCAGGTCTTGATCTCAGGGTAGTGTGTTCAATCAAGTCCTGTGTTGGGCTCCATGCTGGGTGTGGAGCCTACTTAAAAAAAAATTATTGTGAAAGTTCACATAGCTGGTAAGTCAGAGCGCTGCCCTTAATTCTAACTATATACTCCACACTATTTTTTATGTGTACATATGTTTTCAGTCACAAAAAAATAAAGGAAACACATCAAAATATCAACTGTAGTTAATGCTAAATGATGGGGTCATTTAGCATATTTGTGATATTTTTCTATATTTCCTACAGTGACAATGTAATCTGTAATAAGGAAAAGAATAAATATTAATTTTTTAATATAAAAAAACCTTCCATGATTTTCAGTTTTCAACAGAATAAAGCCTAAATTACCTTGTGTTCGGGGCACCTGGCTGGCTGGCTGGCTGTCTCAATAGGTAGAACATGCGACTCTTGATCTTAGGGTCATGCTTTTAAGGTCCACATTGGACGTAGAGCTTACTTTAAAACATAATAAACAAACAGGGGCGCCTGGGTGACTCACTTGAGTGTCAGACTGTTGATTTCGGCTCAGGTCGTGATCTCAGGGTCAGGAGGTCGAGACCCATGTTGGGCTCCACACTTGGCAGGTAGTCTGCTGAGGATTCTCTCTCCCTCTCCTGCTCCTCCCCACCCTACCTCCACCCCCTGCTTCCCTCTGCAATAATAAATAAATAAATCTTTAAAAAATAAACAGGGGCGCCTGGGTGGCTCAGTCAGTTGAGTGCCTTTAGCTCGGGTCATGATCCCGGGGTCCTAGGATGGAGCCCCACATGGGGCTCCCTGCTCATCGGGGACCCTGCTTCTCCCTCTCCCTCTGCCTGCTGCTTTGCCTACTTGTGCTGTCTCTCTGTCTCTCTCTCAAATTAATAAAATCTTGAAAGATAAAAAAAGATTTTTTTTAAAAAATTAAATAAACACATACATACATACATACATCACTCACTCACTTTCTGTCACAGAGTCCTTTGCAGTATGTGTTCCCAGTCTGCCTTACCAGTTTTATTTATACAAACTCTTCCCCTTGGAAAAAACTAAAATTTAGTTATACATTAAAATGTTCTTAATTGGGGCACCTGGGTGGCTCAGTCGTTAAGCGCCTGCCTTCGGCTCAGGTCATGATCCCAGCGTCCTGGGATCAAGCCCAGCATCGGGCTCCCTGCTCAGCGGGAAGCCTGCTTCTCCCTCTCCCACTCCCCCTGCTTGTGTTCCCTCTCTCACTGTCTCTCTCTGTCAAAAAATAAATAAAATCTTTAAAAAAAAAAGTTCTTAATTGGCAGTAGCTAACTACAGGAGGATTAGAAGCAATAGATAATTTGGGGATTCATTTTTGAAGGCTGCTTAGTTCTTGGATTATTAAATTGTACCTTTTAATCTCTTACTTCGTGATTTTTAGGATGCCAGCCCTGTTGTAATTGAGCCATCATCTGTTCTGAATGGAGGAAAATACTCATTTGGAACAGCGGTACATTGTATAGAGCAGAGTGAAGATAGAATCGGAGGAGGCAGCCTCACTTACGTGAACACCACAGAAGAGAAATTTTCAGACAACATTTCTTCTGCATCTGAAGCCTCAGAAACTGCTGGCAGTGGTAAGTATGGCTTGTTTCCCATAAAGTTTATTGAGGGTCACTTCTTAAAGGAGTATACTTTGTCAGAAATGTGCTTCGTAGGATATAATCAGGCTTCTATTCACAGAAATAAGTTTTGAATGAAATGATCAATTATAAAATTCTTGAATACATTAGTAGCTTTACAAAAAGAAACTCTTCTATATTCTATTTCATTAATCTCTCAATTTGAAAATATGTTCACTGTTGGGGTACCTGGCTGGCTCAGTCAGTAGAGCATGAAACTCTTGATCTTAGGGTTGTGGTTCAAGGCCCACATTGGGCGTGGACCTACTTAAAATAAATAAGTTCCTTTGTAAAAAAAAAAAAAGAAGAAAGAAAATATTTTCACTGTTTTCATTGATTAAAGCTACTTCTCTCCATATTGCTATTAAATTATTTTGTCAAGTGCTCGCTTCGGCAGCACATATACTAAAATTATTTTGTCAATAATTTGGAAAGACAATTTTTGAGAAAAGACCATTTTTGAGAAAATCTAAAATTCCATCTCCAAGACTTTCTCTGCCTTCATTGGATTAAATGCACCCTCATATCAGATTCTACAGACATTTCAGGCTGGAATTGGGGGATTATTTTTTTAAACTATTGAGAAAAAGTCCTAATGCTTCCCATAATCCCCTACAGTCTTTGGTAGGACTAAAACTAAAAACTAAAAAAACACTAAAACTCAGTGTTTCTACACATTTGGGGAAAATGCTTTGATGTTTGTGGCGTAGCTGAGTTGAGCTGATCCTTCAGCTGATAACAGTGGCAGTGCTCTCAACCTTACTCTGTTGTTATTTCATCTTTGAGATCTGGCAAATTGGACAGGGCTAGCATCCTCTCTACAGAGTTCTTTGTAGAATTTACTCCTTCTTGTTCCCCATCTGACATTACAGCGATCATTCAGCAGTCCTAGAAGTTCTGTCTCTGATGAGCTTTAACACCAAGATTATTTTTAACCCTCTCTAAGGTCCTTTTTGATACGTGCTTACTCTGATCTGTGCTATCCATAGGCTGAGCAGTGCCGCAGACGAAAGGTTTAAAGTGACTAATGGCTAGAATGTTTACTCGATTGATGGCTAGAATGGTTAGTCTGTAGTTCAGAGTTGAAAAAGCTTAAAATACCATTGAGGTTCACAACTCTTAAGTCATCATTAATCATTTTTCTGTGTGCATTTTTCTATTGTAACCTGGATGCCTTCCTTTGAAATAAATTTATTAGGGAAGTTCTCTCCTCTCTGGCACTCTTCTTTTAGAGTTTTTTTTTTTTTTTTTTTTTTAAGATTTTGTTTATTTATTCATGAGAGACACAGAGAAAGAGAGAGAGAGG